GAGTGTTTCTCTGTACTTTGTCACATTAAAAAAGAGATTTGAAATCTTGTCACAATGTTTTTAAAAACCTTCCTTTTTGCAGCTGGTTATATTCTGGGCACTAAATGAAGGCGTTTCTAGGCAATTTGATTCGTTCAGAGATGGATTTGAATCAGTCTTCCCACTCAGTCATCTTCAGTACTTCTACCCGGAGGAAGTGAGTAGCTTATGTCTAAAAGACATGATTATTTCTAGTTCTGTACCTGTAATTATCTTAGTGGAGTATTTTTTTGCTGTGTAGTCACAGACCCCATTGTTGCATAAAAACAAAAAATGGGGGTTGGAAGCAGGGCATGGATGTTTGTGAAAGACAAGGACATTGCCCGAGCAAGGAAGAATGTTAAAATAGGTGTTCTCTCTTAGGGAACATGTGACCCAGTCAGCATAGCATCTTTGTCAGCTGAGACCCTGGATGCCACATGGGATAGTGTCTCAGTGGAGAATGGGACTTGTGCTGTGTGTGGCGTGCTCTGCATATTTCTGTACTGCTGTGGCTGCTGGGAGAACCATCGGTCTATGGCAATGAAAACTAAACTTCCTGGATTGGATGAGGCATTGTTTCATCATCAAAATTAGTCCTTGAAGCTTTAAGGAAGTGTTGCAAATTATCTAATTGCCAAAAAACAGAGAATACTTCTGAGAATGAAAAAAAATGGATTTCTGTGCATGGTTCTCCCCAGCCATCTTTACTTTGAATCACAACAATCCCAAAGAACTATTCACTGGTAATGAGATGTCATAGAAAGGCTATAGAATGTGTTAGGTCCCCCAATTTGGAAACTTTATTTTTTTGAATACTAGTTTCAGAGTACACAATCATTACTGACTGTATCTGGAAATCTTTGAATGACTTAGCATTTTAATCCTAATTTTTTTTATGTCCACTTTGATTTGCTGCTTAATCGAGCATCTGGAATCCTTAGTTCTTTTAGGCACTACATGTCACCTGGAATTGAAATCAGCAAGTGTTGCCTCTAGAATTGAATCCTGGTCCTTACCCCTTAGCTGTATGACCTTACCCAAGTTACTGTATCTAATAGGACTATTTTATCTATAATTGGAATAACCCCTATCTGACAGGATAGTGCAAATTAAACATATATAAGGTACTGGACAGTAAGTGATACCTAGTAGATAAACTAAATTTCATTTGCCCTGAACTGGATTTTCTCAAAAATAGTCTTCCACAATTGGGCAATTGGAGAGGGGAAAAATGGTTTAATTGGAAACTGACCTGAGATTTTCTAAGGACACAGAAGCATTTCTTGATTTCTTTTCAGTATTTGTTCTGTAATGTCTCTGTTGGTCCCATACAAACAACCATATGGCATAGATGTGCCTTTCTTTACAAAGTGTAAAGACGTACCCTTTTTTATGTCTTAGTTAGCTTTCTTCCATTTCTCTGTCCAGCTCAATTTTCTGTCTCTTTGCTTCTGTTATTGTTTACCCTTTTGTTTCTGAAACCCAAGATTTATAAAAATCTCCCAGATTAGAAGCAGATTATTAATTTAAAGCCTCTAAAGTAATGAGAAGAGTTTGGAAGACTGAAATCAAGGGCTTGTATCCAGGTGTATTTTGTTTGAGATCAAAGGCTTCTCCAGATCCCAGTCCCTGCAAATGGGCAGCATACCTACTAGTATGCACCTGGAAAGGAAATGGAATCTCTGAATGTATTGAAAGAGTACATTTTGTAAGGAGATCTCAAGCAGAAGGTTTCAGTACTGAAACTGACACTCTCATGTGGTACACGTCCTTTATTTTCACTCAGGTAGGCAAGATGTTTCCTTAGTAATTCTATACCCTTATTTAAACTCCCAGCTGGATCAGCTCCTGTGTGGCAGTAAAGCAGACACTTGGGATGCAAAGACATTGATGGAATGCTGTAGGCCTGATCACGGTTATACTCACGATAGGTAAATACTGGGATCTGCCAATTTTTAAATTGCTAATCAAGACTTTGGAGGGTGGGGAGTGTGTATGTGAACAAAAGTTTGGGGGGAGGTCATTCAAAAATTTGTCTGCCTGTTAAAGGAGGCTTACTGATATTTTGGCCCTATTTCTCCCAAGACTGAAATTTAAGACCTAAGGGGTTCTTTTTGAAGTACTTCTGTGAAAATATTGGGGGGTAGGAAATACAGGTTTAATCCTATTACCCATTATTAAATATAGTAAAGCAGAAATACCTACAATACCAGATCAAGTCTCATTTATTACAACAGTAATCATTCCATTTTGATTTCAGCTGTAACAACAAAAACAAATTTGATTTCAGAGTGCATTGTAATGGGAATTTACATGTAATCATAATTAAAATTGATAATCTGTCTAATTGTGAGAGGTTGCTGGTGATGTGGTGTGATTAAAAACTCTATTTTAACATGATGGACTAATTTTGATGTATTTATTTCTGCTATAGTCGAGCTGTGAAGTTCTTGTTTGAGATTCTCAGTAGTTTTGATAATGAGCAGCAGAGGTTATTTCTCCAGTTTGTGACTGGTAGCCCAAGATTGCCTGTTGGAGGTGGGTATTGTGCTTAGTATTTATTCCATGTGGGGGGGGCGGCCAGAAACTTCACTACTAATAGCAGGAGATTCTTTATTTGACTTGCAGTGCCTCTGAGTTATTCCGATGTCATAATGTTTCTAAGTTTTCCATTTGTGTTGCAATCTGTTAAGACCATTGGCAGGGAAATTCATAAGGCTTATCTTAAACATGGTGGAATAGGTTTGCCAATGCGTATGTAATGCCAGTTAGATAAAATTCTAGGATGTTTGTACATTATAAACTCATAGTTGATTTAGATGAGAATGGATTCTAAAATCTGGTTTTTCAGAAATGAGTCCTAATATAAATTGAATTCTAACTCCGTTTTGAAAAGTCAGTC